TGATTACACATGATAAATAACCTAAATAACCTATGAACATGTTTTTGTTTATACTTATGATTTCATGTGTTCAACCTACATGTTATACTGCAGTCTTGATTTTTATACTACCTGCTCTATTTTCATATCCTCTGCCATACTAACATGTTATTACTTGTGTATGTAGACGCGTAAAGTTTCATTCGAGTATGCATTTTGTTTGTTCTCCATGTATAAAAGCTTATGTTAATCCTGATTATTTTTCTAAGCTCGTTATAGCTCATTCTTCTTTGTTGCCTTCAAGGTATGGGCAACAAGCATCGGGGCAAGTAGCCAAGTGTGTCTTTGTACAGCTTTTGCACGATAGCTTTGAGATTTTGTACATATTTTTTGGGAACATATATAATTTATATTAGATTTTGCCGCTCTGTGTAGTTTTTTATGTTTTGGATGATATGATTTACATGCTTCCGAGTATGTATATGAATGAATTATGAAATACAATATATCACATATGTTGTGGTAATCTAGTTAGACTAATTCATTACTCACTGGGTTTTGATTATACAAGTCAGGACGAGTGTTGGTGAGAGTTGGTTCGACTAAATTGCCAGTCTCTGTCGCACCACAATTGACCCTATTAGGGGGGTTAGTTGGGGTGTGACACCTTATTGCTGAGGTTGATTTCTAATCGGCCACTCTTTCATTGAAGAAGTGCAGCATAATTTTCTCATTTAGTGTTTCACTTTTTTATCTGACCAGACATCTTAATTCCCCTCTTGGAGAACTAGATGAATTCGTTCTTGTATGCCTTTATAGTAAAATAGCAACGAAATTATAATTACTTGAAAATTTTGCATGGTATAAATTTCTCATTGATTTCCTTAATTTAATTAAATCATTATATTTGTATTTGATTTATGTGAAATTTTGGTCGATAAGATGATTAAACACCTTGTTCTTTCTGGTTTAATTAAATGGAACATGATCACTGCTACGGTAGAAGTGATGTATGATTGTAATACTTTATTTGGAGGATGGCTGAATTTTCTTTTGTTATGGCTGGTTGGCTTTATACAAACCTATGGCTAAAAGGTAAGAAATATAGAAATACGCTCACGTATTTTGATGTCAGCACATTTTTTTGCCAAATTATAAATTTATTTTGAAGACACTTCAGTTAGTTATAATGCCTTAAACTTTAGGTTGCTGTGTTGATTCTGTAGAATTGCTTTAAATGGATACATATTCTAAATCAAATAAATCAAAATCAAAGTTCAACCATTCATGCGGTCAATTTAGTGATAGGGGATTACATTTCACCATTTTGATCTCTCTTTTTTACAAAATAAACCTTAAATGATACCTCAAGTAGAAATGCATTGAAATTGGAATTCAAAATTGATCCCAATTTAGTCTTTTAATTATATAAAATTTATTCAAATTTATTTTTTTAGGGATCATTTGGGATCAATCATGTATCATTAATCGATTAAATTTGAGAAATGTGATATTTTAGAAGTAAATTAGTCACTTAAGAATTGCCGGTGGACTCTTTTTGGACTCAACCCTTAATTGTTATTTTTTTAATCATTTAGTTTCAGATAATTGTTTAATTTACCTGTTTAATCTATTGGCAATGTTTGTGGTTGGGGTATTTACTTGACTATATTTGGTTTATGCTAACATTATGTTCCGATTTCTTAACATGGAATTAGTGAGATTGTATTGCTTAATATAAGAACGTATGGAATTGTGGCATGCATTGCAGTTTATATATGATCAAAAGGTTGATCATTTAATTGACACTGCCTTAGAATTGTACTAACAAAGTGCGCGCGCGCGTATGTGTGTGTTGGGTAGTTTTAGCCTACTGATTCCAAATCAACTTTTTTTTAACACTACATTGGTGTTGATTCTAAAAAAAATGGTTTCTATGGTGGCTTAAAATTGGGCATGATTGTTTCGTTAAGATCATTGTGTGGCGAAATTCATCAAGACTGTTGTAGGGTAAAAAAAATTAGAAACAATTAAGCTCTTATGCCTTCGGTTCTTCATGTTGTGCTTTTCTATTTCGACAATAAGAACATTCTCTCCTTTTCCTCTTGTTTTTAACACTTGGCATTATTTTAGATGGAGAAATCCTGTTTGATGGGTTGGAAATGGCTCTAGCGATCATACCTAAGGAAAGATTAGAAAAATGGAAGAGTATGATCTTTGTCCATGCCATTGAAACTCCGCTTGTAAACTCTGGAGTTTATATATGTATGTGTGTGTGTGCTTAGGTGATAACACTTTTATATATCTTAAATGAGTAGTAATGCTAGATCTGAAATCTCGTGTTATCATATGGCACAGAGCATCAAATTTGTTCTTAGTTTTATGGATTTATTTTCTTATTTTGAAGTGTAACTTTATTATCTTGCGCTTTCTTTTGGCCATTTTCTCATATTTTCATTCCTTTCCTTAGAATGGCATCCCTCATGGGCGTAAGAAAGAGATTGTTGAATACATTTTATCTGCTAGCGAAAAAGGAGCATGGTAATCTTATATTTGTGCTTGAAAATTATGAATTTAATTGACATTCACATATTTAATACTTTTTTGACATGCATCTGCAGCCCACTTCTTCAAAAGATGGTTCTAGAACATGTAGGCAAATGTGTGATGATATCTTCTGCACTTGAAAAAATTCTTTGGCGCATTCAGGTGATTGTATGATGAGATTGCTAACATTGTTGAACCTAAACCCTCTACTTTTGCGCTCTTTGTAATAATTTCATGTGCTTTTCCAGAGACTCTTTTTTCTTAATGGTGAACAAGATCTTTCGGCTTTCTTGCTAGTTGATCTCGGGCTGATAAAATTTCCTAAGTTTACATGCAATGTCACACACCAAATTTTTAAATCTCGAAATTGTTTCCTTGAATATGAAGAGGTGAAAATGTTTACCTTCATGAACACTTTTGGTGACCTGATCATCCTAATTACTGTGAACACTTTAATAGGCTATTGAGGTGGCTCAAATAATGGATGAATCCATTGATCAAAGTGATATGGAAACGACAGGACGATGTATTGAACTATCTGAAAATCGCTTGCTCACTAACTTTAGTGAGGAAGCCCTGTATTCTGTTTCTAGAACCCAGCAACAGTTCTTCTCTTACTTTTCAGCTTCGTGGGTCTACTCAAAAGTGCTAACTTTGGGTGTTTCTGTTTTTGAACGTGAACACAGGTATGAAACAATGAGAGTACCTTTTCTTTGTCATTAGGTGTGAAACACCATTAGCTCGTTGTTTTTGCATTAAAAGGACCTTATTATGTTTGATCGATTACCTCAAATTTGAATGTATGCAGAAGAGTTATTTGTTTGTTTTCTCCAGGTATGATGATGCTACAAGGCTTCTGAGGAAGCTGTTAAAGCGAATTATGTGTGACAGCAGGCGCGGATATTGGACACTGAGGCTTTCTGTTGACTTGGAACATCTTGGCTGTTTCAATGAAAGCCTATGTGTTGCAGAGAAAGGGGTGGGAGATCCTTGGATTCGTGCTGGTTCAAAAATGGCATTACAAAGACGAGTTATACGCTTAGGGAAACCCCCACGGCGATGGAAAATGCCCAGCTATGCTGATGCTGTTATGCAGAAAATTAAAGAAGTAATTGTTTGAATTTGAACTCATAAAGTTGATAAATTAGCTTAATGAATATGCTCTTGTTTCCTTCTTTATTACTGACTTCTGAACAGGTTGCAATTGTAGGAAGGCCTCTGAGTAATGAAACTATGGCAAAGAGCCTATTCTATGGCTATGATGATGAGCTTTGTGGAGTTGAACAACTTGCCCTACAGTATTATGCTGAGGAGGGGGGTGGATGGGTTGGGATCCATTCTGAAAGTGGCATCTGGATGACTATCTTTGGACTGCTCATGTGGGATGTCATTTTTTCTGATGTGCCAAATGTCTTTCAGTCTATTTTTCAGGTATTAGTTTCTGAAAGCTTCTATATGCTTGTTTTACAATGTTGAAATAGAAAATCTGTAGCGAATTGAGGTTTTCTAGGAAGTTTATGTGCATCTCGCTACATGCTTGAAACAGTGAATTTCCATCTGTACATTTTTTTGCCTGCTTAAGCACATTCTTTCTCTGCTATTATTTTTAGCTATTTATTCCTAGTTGAGAATGTATTTCATCTTGCAAACCATTGTCTTTCTTGTCCTCCATCATGGCATTATCTGGTGATGTTGCATTATTTTCTACAAAATCAACTCAGTTGTATTGTCACATAGACGGACTTGTAGCTTGGCAAATATGTTTTGAGGATATCAGGTCATGAGGATATTAGGTCTGCATTTACTGCACAAATGAAAATAGAATCGCAGGTTTTTGAAAAGTAAGATGATCATGCAAACATTAAGAGGGATGCATCATTTTTCTTGTTTATCCAAAACACGTCCAGTGCAACCTGCTGTTTAAGCTGTGTTCGGTGTCAGCAACTAAAATTTATATCTATGTTTATGTAGGATTTATATTTGCTAGCCTTGGAAATCAAGCTCTTCTCTTTCAAGGTTCATTTAGAAGTGAGAGTCTGTTTTAACTAACATAGAAATTATTGCTCGTTTCAATATTATCTATTTATTTAGTTTAACTCAGGCACCCACCAGTCTTCCAATCACAAAACTGCACACTACTCAATTACGAGAGAGCTGTAGAAAATGTTACTTAATCAGTTGACTGGTATGCATGTATATATGCAAAAGTTTATATAAAGAAAAGGAAGTCACTTCTAATTATTTATGTAGATATTAAAAAACTCCTTAAGAGGTGTCCTTTTTTCAAGTTGAACTCAATATGTTTGCTTGATCAATAACCAAACACAGCTTTTAATAGGGTTCTCACCTATGTAATACCAACGCTTCTAAAAATGCGTTGTACCCGTGTCAAACACGTATCAAGCACACACACAACTTCAACATTCTTGACACTTTTCCGACGATGCAAAATATATATGAATTTTTTTCGGAGTAGGACACGTCCGGGACACGCCTCAGCATTGCACCGTACATGTGTTCAACAAGAATTATGGAAAAAATGGACACGACGACGACAACAACAACAACAAGCATTTTTCACACTAAGTGGGTTCAGCGATATGATTTCTTGTTCTCCATTGTGTCCTATTGAGTGTCATATTTTCATTTAAATCTAATAAATTAAATTCACTTTCTATAAAAAATGCCCAAATCTTTCTAGGTTTGCCTATGTCTTTCTAAACATAAGTCGAATCTAAAACATAACCAGATCATTCTAATCGGATCATCAGATGGTTGGTGTTTAATGTGACCAAACCATCTAAGACTACCAGACGATTCTCTCTAATTTTGTCCGTCACTGGAGCTACACCAACCCTATCAAGAATATATTTATTTCGCATTTTGTCGCTAAATGTAAAGCCACTCATCCACCTAAGAATTCTCATCTCGGCAACACTTAACTTAATTATAAGCTTCTTTTTAGAAGCCAACATTCTACGCCATAAAGCAGTGCAAGTCTCACCGACATCTTATAAAATTTTCCTTTCAAAGTGACACTTTTCTATCACATCAAGTCTCACCGACATCTTATAAAATTTTCCTTTCAGTCAAAGTGATACTTTTCTATCACATAATAGGCCCGAAGTCTTCCTCCACTTCAACCAACCAACTTGAATTCTACTAATGACATCCCCATCTATATCACCATCACTTTGAACAATCCATCACTTTGAACAATAGGTATCTAAAGCATTCACACCTTTTAATAATTTGATCACCCATAGTTACAATTTTATCACTAGAGCTACTATTACTAAAATTTCATTCCATGCATTCAGTTTTAGTTCTACTCAAACGAGGGCCCTTAGACTCCAATGAATTCTGCTAATACTAAAAATTGGACACAAGTAAAAGAAAATCATAAATGTACATGTATCTCTAATTTTAACTCATAGTAAAAACCGCCTCCTATCGTCTTATCAAAACTCCCTCTAACATTTATCAAAATTGAGCATCGAAGGTGCGTTCGATATTTGTCAAAGCCTAGCTTCGGTAGTTCTTTCTTTGTTTGTCGACGCTGAGCGTCAAAACTACATCTTGAATTGTTGAAATTGAGTGTTGGAGTTCTCTTTTGTTTAGCAAAGTTGAGCCTGTACCTGCTAAAGTGGAAGTCATACGCTCCTTTGTCGTAACCTAAACATGAGTTAGACATGTTCTTTCAAGTCGATCCAAATACCTCGCAAACATTGTGATGCTTGTACTGACACTTCTATTCGTTGTAGCTAAGTGGAGTCAAAGTCGCCCTAGTTCTGTAAGTGATAATTTATATATTTTTGTACTCTTTAATGAATTGGTATAAATCTATACTTATTAAAATTATTAAAGTTAAATTTTAACTTAATTAATGAAACAAGTTCTAATTGTAGGATATTTTAAAGTTTAGTAGATAGGTCGAAGGGACTTTTTTGAAACATATTATATATGTAATTTTGAAAATTGATTTTTGTGTGTATGAGATTTTATAAGACAGGTTAAATTTATAATATTGAATTTTATTCTTGCATACTTTGTTTTGAGATGTCTTTAATAAATGATAATGAAAGATACATATATATTTAAAAGAAGCCCTAGAGCTGATTATATTGAAATAAAAAAGGATACAAAGTGTTATATGAGAGGGCCCAATAGATGATGTCCTACTCATACGATACATGGTATAAAGAAATCCCAACAAGAAGATACCAAAGACTCAAAAAATGAAAACATGTAAGAACAAGTGTCTATAGACGAGACAATCTAGATTTGCCTCTTATTATGGTTCTTGGAGCGGATCCAGATAGCAAACTCTGAAGTGTTGTTCAATTGTCAGGAGTGACCAAGGTATCATCTATTAAGTTTCCAAGCTGAACAGTGCCCCCAGCCTTCTTCCTCCGCCGAGAAGTGTAAACTTGTCATTCTTCTTCTGAAGACTATTCAGTCTGATCCGTAGAAGGAAAGACAGTTGCAACGATGAGTTCCAGAGTTTGTGTAGGACAGTCTTCCAATACTTGGGAAACACTTGCCCTCTCAACAGGTAGTTCTACCAACTGATTAATAGCAATAAAATGGTTTGTCTTTGGCTCTAAATCTTCCTCGTTAGTATTAGGAGACACCTTTTCCGTCATCTGAATGTGAATGTTAGCTTCATCCCTATCTTCAATCACCTCATAGAGGGGAGCCTGAGCACCCTCCATGGTAGGTAGAGCCTGAGAAGATAGTATGTCCACTCCAGTAGAAGAAGGGGCAGTGACCGCATCCTGTCTTCCAGGGGCAACCACATGACTCTCCTCCAACAAACGACCCTTGTCAACATTTTCCGAAACAATATCAGTAGACAAACCATTTTGCACCGTATCCTCCATGGGCATAGCAGTAGGTATCATAGGCAATGAGGAAGAGGGTATAACTTCCGCATAAATGTGCTGAGAAACAGGAGGTGGGGCTACAGCCAGCCGTAGATGCGGATGCAACCGATACAGGATGAAAAGCTATGAGCAAACATTCCATAGTGAGAGCAGTATTGGGGATGAGGTCCATCACAATCTTCTGCCAATAACCTTGATGAGGGGAGCCAATCCAAATCTCCCCTAGAAAGGGTGAGTGATGTCGTGCTCTACAAGCACACAAGCTTTAGATGACCTAGTTGTATCAAGCATGGGAGTATCAACCTTCAGCGGTTTCCCAAAAGCAGTTTTTAATGTATAACGGGTTTCATAATTGAAGAGATGCACCTTGAGCCCTGAAAAATTAACCCAAACCGGGATAGTAGGAGATTCCGATTTAGGATCAAAATCTACTGTCCATTTCAGAATTTTTATAAAACGATTATCAATTTTGAGAATTTTTTGAGCAAAGAGTTCGGTATAATTTTGAGAACTTTTCGAGCAAAGAGTTGGGTATAATCCGCGTCATTTGAGAGTTGAATGAGAACGTGACGGCCATCTAGCGAACCGACTTTCCAACTCCTTGTGAGCTTAAGAGAATCGAATATTTCCATATGGAAATTTTCCAACAAGAGTATATCTGCATGCTGAAGCAAATATACTTGTTTCCTCGTCAGTGAGAAACAAAGCGAGTTTGTCATTCTTTCTTCCCAGTTATTTTAGTAAAGGTATAACCACCTCTAGATTCATGTGCATCATGAAATTTTTTAGGGAAGAAATAAGAACGACCTCCTCCCCCGGGAGTGGAACCCCCGGAGACAGCCGTAGCATAACTCGGGGTCATTCCCCCAAACCGAAACAAAAGTAAACCCAAGTGAAAAAACCCCATGCTCGAACACTGGAGCTGAAGCAACGACGAACAGAACAGGGAACGCAAATCACAAACAGAAACAGGGAACGCGACAGTGGTCTTGCGAGATGTCGTGCGAAACCGTCGTCTAGCAAGACGTCGCTCGAAAAAAATCCAGGAGCGAAGCCCTTCGTTGTTGTCGTCGGGGACTAAGGAGAGACCGAAGGACGCGAACAAGCTCGTCTTCTGGCAGGAAGGAGATGTCTCGCAAGCAGAACGAAGGAGAGAAGCCCTTCGTTGTTGGGTGCGACGAAACCGAATGACGCGAATCTTCGCGTCGATAGTTTCAACATAGCGAATCGCCATCGGGCGAAACCCTAGCAGAGCAGCCCGACTATATATCTATTAATAGTATATTAAATATGGAAATGTGTCCATGACATATCTTGTCATAGTTTTTTCAATTACGTCGTATCGTCGTATAGTGTCATATTGTGTTTGTGTCTGTGCTTCATAGGTTCTCACAACATATAGCTAGACCATCCATGGTTATGTAATATATCTTGCAATATTTGTAGAGATTATGCTTTTGATAAATAATTATGAATGTGATTATCGAGTTATTATTGAACAGCTTGTTTGGGCAATAAATGAGCCTTAACAATTCAATTAATGAACCATACTTTTGAGTTTGTTTTACCTTTAGCTAATTTTACAAGCTTTTTTGAACTTATTAAGGAGCAAAAATGTCCATCAACTTATTTTGAGCCTTGTATATATATAAATTTATGCAATTGAAATTCTTTATGTAAAAGATGTTGGCGACAAGCTCTACTAGGGTTTCGCCCAATGGAAAAACCTAGCGTTAACCTCCGGCTTCACTCCATCTTCTTCGTGCGTGGCTACTATTTTGTCGGCTTAGGATACAATCTCGCTTGTTGTTTACCGAGCCTTCTTCGTTCTCAGTCGTCTTCTCTGGACAACTACGCCAGCACCGCGTCGTCGCTGTTTTGTCGCTGCTTCGCTTCCTCGTCGCACGTCGTTGTTTTGCTGCTTCGCACTCCGCTTGTCGTCTGCGTCGAGTGAATTCGTCCTCGGTCGCAGACTGCGTCCCGCTGCTCAGCGACAGTGCGCGCGCAGTGAAGCACTGACCAAGGTGATGGCCTCAGGGGTTCTTTCATACGCCGCAGCCCCAACCGGTGATAACCCCGACCCCGCTCCCGCCCTTCCCGCCCTTCTTTCGAATATGTTTCCGTAAAGTTACCACGATACTTTTGCTCTTGGCGTTGAAACTGGATTTCTCAAAAACGCATCCCGTAAAAATGGCAAACCTGCAATCTTTCTCACAAAGGTCGAGATCTCCACCCTAGTTGTGCCCTGCCGACTTTTCTTAGGTAAGTTTCTTTATGAAAACCCTAAACTTGAGCTAATTCGAAAGAATTTTGAGCAAATGAAGCTGAGAGGGAGTTGGAAGATTGGTAAATTGGATGGTCAACACATTCTCATTCAATTATCAAATGATGCAGACTACGCTCATATGTTTGCGAGAAGTCTCCTTCAAATAGACAACCAGGTGATGAAGGTTTTAAAATGGACGATGGATTTTGACTCTCATACTGAACCTCCTACCATTCCTGTTTGGCTGCGCTTCCCAGGTTTGAAGGTCCACCTTTACGATCAAAAACTCCTCTTCGCTTTAGCAATGGTATACGGTAAACCTCTCAAAACTGATATGCCTACAGTAAATCTGATTCGGCCTTCTGAAGCCAGAATTTTGATAGAACGGGATATTACTTCACCTTTTTCGGGAGAGATATGGATTGACACACAACATCAAAGATTTTGGCAGCAAGCAGAACTTGAACAAATACCTCTTTATTGCACCCACTGTTGGATGTTTGAACACTCTCTTTCTCAATGTTATCATTTGCATCTAAATCTAAAACCTCAGAGTAAAAATGCTACTGGATCTGCCCCACTTCATACCTGTCCCTCTTCCGCCCTCGAGTTCATTCCACAGACTTTTGAAACACCGGTTGACACGATGCCACCTCTCCCTCCCACTACCGGAGACAATACTGTTTTTATTCTTCTGATTGATGTATTGGCAAATGGTTAACTTGGGCATCCTACAGTCTCTATCACTGTTGAAAACAATACTGCAAGATCCTTACCTCCAAAGGATATTCTTCCGTCCGATAATCAGGATAATATCGCAGCTCCACAACCTTAGGAAACATCAGGCGAGGAGACAGATTTACCATCTCTTCAGAATGAGAATGTTGTTATTATTAATCAGGAGCTAAGGGCTCATCCTCTTCTATATGCCCAACAATCTGTTGATCACACTGATCAGATGAGTCAGTCTTCGGATGAGGAATGGTAGGTATACACATCTAGGAAGAAAAATAAGAATGGAGACACACCCCAGCTTGGGAGACACCCCAGCTTGGGAACTTAATGGATGATACTTTAGTAACTTCGGGTAATGACACGACACTCAGCAATTTGTTAGTTTGCTCCGTTGCTAGAACCAATTTGTTAGTTGGCTCTGTTCCTAGAACCAGAGGTAGGGCAGGACCAAGTCGGCTCGTCCCTAGCAACTTGTTTTCTCCGAGTTTTGAATTTTAGAGTTTTATTTGTCATATTGTTTTATCTATGTCTTATCTTTTTTAGGATGTTAGTTTCTGTGTATTGTATGGCTAAGGTGTTTAGGATGTTAGTATCTGTGTATCGTATGGGTAGGGCGCCTTTATTAGATCATATTGGGTCCTCTCATACAACATTTATGTACATTTTCAATTTCAATAAAATTAGCCCTCGGGCATTTTAAAAAAAAAATGTAATTGAAATTCATTAAAAATATAAATAATTAAAATAAATCAATAATAAAATTTTTAAGTCATTAAATGAATTCATTGTAATAATAAAGAATTGTATTAAAGAGTTCTAGTGAACATACTATTGAGTCTTAAATAAGCATATTATCAATCTTTAGCCTATTAATTAACGAACTTTTTATTGTGTTGTTCATGATTGTATGAGTACCAAATCCTTCAAATTTGTTCATTTATGAAACTAGTAGTTGCCAGAATGTTAAAGGTTAGCTCGATTAATGAATTAAATGATCATAAGTAGGCTCTAATTATGTTAAATCATAGATAGCTTGTCGAGCCTATTGTTCATTTGCAGCCCAAGTCATGCAACCCAGGAATCCCTCAAATTGATATCTGGTTGAAATTTTCAGGAGGATTCATCCATTTGTTTAAGTAAATTGAGTCTAAAAGGAGAAACATTTGTGATTTATAATAAAATTATTATGAATCGTTGTATTTGTGTAATATGACACTGCAAAATTACTAAGTACAAAATTATTGGCTGCCATTTTCTTAATCTATTGCTTAGAGAGTCGAGAATAAGATTTTCTTCACATATACTGCAGTTGGCGTTTTTACCATTTTGTTTCAGGTAGCTCCACTAGACCTCCTTACAGATGATTTCTATGTGATGAGAAAGAGCTCAATAGAGTCTCAACTACGAAGGATCCATGAAGGCATGGCTGAAGAGATGCTGATCACTTCATGGCAATTGCACCAGGGAACGGCTTGCCATGGTGTCCACTGGGATAGATTCTCACTCTCTGATCTGCGAGCCGCAGTTTCATGCATTGGAAGTCATTGTCTTGCTTCCCTTTGCAGGATTCTAGCAATGGATTACCGAAGTTGGTCGAGCGGCATGCCAGACCTCCTGCTCTGGCGCTTTCATGGAGGAGATGCAGATGGAGGTGAAGCCAAGCTGGTCGAGGTGAAAGGCCCAAGAGATAGGTTGTCCGAACAACAAAGGGCTTGGATTCTGACTCTCATGGAGTGTGGGTTCAACACTGAGGTGTGCAAAGTGACCCCTTCTCCAAAAGCATGATAATGCATGAGTCAAAACTTTTACTGTGTTGGTATTATTTTTCATTTTCGATTTTGAATTTAAAATTTAGAAGGTATAATGGTGTGTATTAAATTTATTTTTGAACATGAGAGGCATGTAGAAAACATTTATTAAGAATGTGGGGGATTTGATTTGATATGCTTCATGATGTTTAGATTTGTATTAATGCTATTTTTCATAGAAATATGAATGAAATTATGTTTTGAATGAAATTACATTTTTTATATAACTTTAAGTTAGTCCCGTGTAATTATTGTGCAAATGTCTGAATAAGAAAATTGTACTAACTCTTATTTTTTTTATATTACGTTATGTATTTATTTATGAAATTTTATTCATTTTTCATAAATGAGAGATGAGCGTTGCTCCATTGTGTGCATTCCCGTGCTAAAATTATTTTCATTGATACTATGCCTCAGGATGGAAGAAAAACAGTTTATTTATGATGTTTGAGTCATTTACAACAAAGTTAGATTTGATTACAAAGTCTTTTTTTTTTTTTTTTTTTTTTTT